ATCCAGCACTTAAAATGGTAATTTTAATAATACCACTGGGGATGGGTATGTTTAAGGGATATACAATTTAGTGGTTTCATTGATAAACATCGGTTTTATTGAATTTTTAATGTCCCCTAGAACCAACAGACGGAACTATTTGTTTTTGGGTAAGAAAATTACCATTGTATGCTACTAAATTCATTTTAAAAATGATCAAATACTATTTCAACTAAATTTAATTTTTTTTTAATTTAAAAATGTATAGAAACAATTCGCCTCGCAGATTTCCGCCAATTCTAAAATATTCCTAGCTTGACACAAATATTTTCCGCCCTGCAATTCGCCGCTCTCGCAATTCTTCTCATGCTCCACTTTGATTTGCTTATCAAGATCAAAGCGATTGCTGCTCTTCGGGTTTGCCTTGTTCTTCCTCTTATTTCGATTTGAAACAGCCAGAAAAACGGGCTGCATAAGAAACACCCGCACAAATCCAAATCTCCAAGAGCAACAATAGATTTTGACGTCTCGGAAATTGTGTGGAAGAGAGCTGCAATTTGCTGTGGCCTCCAAGTTCAACTAACATTAAAAGAAGTGCACAGAAACAAGAAACAGGCGAAGAAACGTGGAAGCTCTCGGGCTGCGGAAGGAATGCCGCTGAAGAGAAGACTGCAGATTCGAGACGGGAGACTGGAGACTGAAGACTGGAGACGGGTGCCAGGAGAACGAAGAATCGAGCGAAGACAATTCGAGTTGCGTGCTCTGCGTGAGCGTCGTGCGTTTGACTGACTGAATGACTGACAAACTGACGAACGCCAAAACTGAACCGGGTCTAACCCAAAGCCAAAGACTGAAGACTGAAGACTGAAGACTGCGGCCCGAAGACTGCAGAGTGAAGACCAAGACTGACTTGGCCCATCATCCATCCATTTATTTCTGAGTTTCTGAGTTGCAGTTGCGGGAGTTGCAACGGCAAAAGGAAAACCAAATTATACACATGCATGCACAGAGAAAAATAATGGAAGTAAAACGAAAAAAAAGTAATGAGAGTAAAAGAAAAAGAAATAAAAATTAATATCGCTTAATAAAATTCGAAGAAATAGTACCGCTGTTTTGAGTTTGTGGTAAATATATCTGTATATGTAAAGTGATATTTGGTACTTTAACCTGTATGTTTTTTAGAGTGTAACTAGGTCCGAGTTGGAGACTGGGAAGAACGCCTCCCGCACTTATCCCCCCTTCGGGCCACACCAACACAATTGAAATTCCTCTAGCGCAGAAATTGCATTTCACGCTGGAAATGCGTGCTCTGCGTGCAGCAAAAAACCAAAACCATAGCGCAACAGCAACAAAAATTGCAACTGCAACAGCAACAGAACAGCAGGAGCTGCAACTTCAGTCGGAAGAAAGACAAAACGCCTCAAATACGTTGGATAGTCAGACTCCAGATGCACTATCAAAATTTTTTAAATTAGATTATCGGAAAATTCAAAGAAAACTTCGCCAACTATGTATCTTTAAATGAATTACTTAAAACATATAATTAGCTATCTCCATTAATTTAGATATTTTGTCTAATTCTTGGATAATTTCCAAAAGAAAGAGTAACTCCAGAAAAGAACAATTTGGCTGTGAAGATCAGTGGGAGGTTGCCGAGTAGCTTTCGGAACCAAAGTGTAGGTGCCATAAAGGAATAGTGGGAGGCAGTTGGGCTCATTCCGTCATGCCGGGAAATGCCAAAAGCAAAACACTTGCAGTTTAAAAGGAGATCCAAAAAGAGAGGCATAAATTAATATTTACAACGAAAGAAACTGTTCAGTACAGAAAAAAAGGAAATCAATATTCGAAAATATCTACCATCATTTGTAAAAACTTTATGAAATATTTGAAATTGTTTTAATATAAAAGTTTCTTTTTGTTTTCTGTGTAAACTCTTGTCACGTTTCAAGTTATGATCGCAGATCCTTTACGGATATTATTAGGCTTAATTTCAGTTGGAATCGGATTGAAATCATCTCCGCTTTTCACATCTCCGCTCAACATTGTCATATTCTATGCTTATTTTTTTGTTGATTTTTCCCCACTACTTTGCTACTTTGTTGTTGTTTACGTTTTCAAGTCTTTCGATGGCAAGAAGAAAAAATCTCCGCACTTTTGCCTCTGTTGGATTTGTTTGTTGACACTCGCAACTTTTTCGCAGCCCACACAAAAAATGATGAGAGCCAGAAAAAATGGGGGAAAATGAAGAAAAAGGGTTCTCCAGATGAGGCAGCAATTTTTGCTGTTTAATAAAATTAGTAAACATTCACGTTCGCGTAAACAGTGCACTGCATACAATTAAATTAAGATAGTTTCGAACGATATCTGTGACCGTATTTGTAATGCTTTAAACGTTTCCCTCCGGGCTTAAACTAAGCTCTTCATTTATGTGGCGAAACATAAAAAAGTATTACACATCATTTCCTAGACATCAATTAGCCGGAAACATTTACTGAACTTCATCATCGTCAACCATCAAATTATTTCCAATTGATTTGTATATAAGTTGCTACCTTACCTACCCCAATTAGCTCACTTTTTATATATCAATTTTTTTTTTTTTTTTTGATAAAACTTCATTTCGTTTGGTTTCTTTTTGGCATGACGTCAAGTTGTTCCCTTGGCCGCCAATCCTTGTGTCAAAACGTTCTCAAGGGTAAATGGAAAATCCATTAATAAATAAAAAAGTGCCGCTCACCTGCAACGAGAGAAAGAGATGGGGAGAGTACGTTAAAAAGAATTTCATTAAGTGCAATGGGGGCTTGGAGGGTAAAAGGAAAATACAAATAAAATTATAAATGGGCAGTACAAACAACAAAAAAATTGGTAAACTGCCCGGCAAAATGGCGAACACTTACACGAATGCTTATATATAGTGTGTGTGCATCCCCTCACACACACACACACACACACACACAGAAAACATACATTGGCACTAATAAGCTGCCGAGTTTTGCGTGTGTCAACTTTTTGCACTTTTTGCGCAAATGCAAATTGTGTAAAAAGAAAAAAATAATAAGAGAAAAAAACAAGATGAAAGAAAACATATTTTCACACGAGACATGACGACACCCTCTCCCCCTCCACTCACCCCCCATCATCCCGTCTCCCTCGCACACTGCACGCTCCAGCGATTCGTTGGGCCAAAAGGGAAATATATGTACATAGATATATACGAATACATGCATGTGCAAGTGCATTTATATATGCATATATACATATGTTTGTATATATATATATATATATGTTTACCTGTACTATAACTTCATTCCAATGGCCGCCCTGCACTTCCTCCAGCCTATATTGCCTTCTCTTTCCATCGCACTTTCGGCGGAAAAGCATAAAAACAACAAGAAGAAAAGCCCATGCATATTGGATGTCTGCGAATAGTCCAAATATTTGTTGTAAAATCGCAACACAAAACCCCCCGAAAACAGTAGCAACAATAGTAACAACAATCGAAAACACGCAAAGCCTGAAGACAAGGCTCTAAAATAAACACTGTTGGAAAAGATTTTAAGTAACACCTTTGGTAAATCAAAAATACATATATTTTTTTGTTAATGCCAACAAGTGACTTAATTAAAATTGAAATATAGTAATATAATATAATTTAAATGTCTAATAAATGCATTTGTTATGATCATATAAGTCATGTTCATTTCTAATTGAGCGGACTTAATTAATTTATAGTTAATAAATAATAATAAATAACAAATAATATTTAAATAGGTAAGTAATAGGGTAGTTTTTAATTTCGGTGACTACCTTGTTGTATATATTGTATCTTACTTTAACCATAAATAATATTCCCCAAAAACACGAGCCTACTGTAAACATCTATTAAGTATTTTTACCAGTGTAGGTCAAAGAGGAGGCGTGGTGTGTGTGTTGTCTACTTCTCCTTCCCTTATTCATTTCGTTGGGCAGGGGTAGCTCGATTTCAGCTAAGGACATCCAAACACACACACACACACACACACACTTACATGCATAGAGCGAAACTAGAGAAATACACACTATTCTTCCTGTTCCTATTCTTTCAGCTATTCTTCCACCTTTTTACCCTTCCGTTGTTGTAGTTCTTGGCTGAACGCATTTAATGGTCGAACAAATGCCTCGCTTTTTTTCGAGGGTGAGAATTCCGACTCACACTTACACACTCGCACACATACGAGTATACGTGCAAGCGGTAAGGGTTGCTAACCCTCCTGTGCGTGTGCTTGTGTGTGTTTTTGTGTGTGCGGGATGGAAATAGTGCCCCTAGAGTGCGAGGGAAAGAGAAGGCACGATACTGGCACATTTAACCCATTGGCAGCCATTTTTAGTTTTAGCCACCACAAATCCAATACGAATTTTAAGGGAAGAAGGCGTTAAAAAGGTTCGAAGAGCCGATCAGCTAAAGTAATTCATCGATCGCTTAAATGTTACTATATACAAAACATAAATACAAATTGTATAGTTTTCTTTTTATAGTATAATACTGTTTTATAAGCTCTTAATGTTTTATCAACAGGATGTTTGTATTCCATGAGGGAATCTCTAAGACTTATTTCCGTTCTTATCTCCCGGAACCTCTGGAAATGTTAAGTATGCAGTTTTGTAGTAATGATAGGTCAGGCATTTCCGTTTCCACTTCAACAACTTCGATCAATCGAGTTTTTTGTCCTGGGACTCCCCTTTATATTTTATATCCATTGTTGTTCACTGAGCGATCGATGCAATGTATGCAGATCCATTGTGTCCAGCTGTTAACTTCGCCCTGCTTCCTCATTTATTATTTTGTATTTTATTGATACCCATTTATTATGACCCATTCGATTGTACATTTACAAACATAAAAGGATTATCCCTTTATTCTTCTAAATTTTGTCGTATTTTATAAGTTAAAGAAAAATTCGTACTAAATTAATAAATTTCTAAAACTCAGTAGTCGTTGTTTTTCATTTTCAATGTGTCAAACATTTCCCCCTTTCATTTTTCATTTTATTCAGAGTGCTGGTTCGGAATAGACATAACCAACTCACTTTTGTTTTTTTTTTTTATATATTATTTAAAATTCTCAATGTCTCACTAAAAAACCGGCAAGATTGTTGAACGAAAACCAAAAATAGATCTCGATCCAAAATTGCACCGTGCCTTTTATAAGTTCCGCGCGTCCAGAGAATCTCCTGCTAAATCGCGATGGCCAAGGACCAAGAAGGACAATCCTCCGACGACCAGAAACGAGAGCAGCGAGCCAGGCTAATCAAGGCCTTGAGTCGCTTCAAGCCACGGGATGCCAATCCACTGCAGTTCTACAACTGCGTCCGCGAACTCTGCATAATGCACAACTGCAGCATCGACGAGGGCTTAGAACGAGCCGCACTAACTTGGCCAGGACTCAGCATGCGCCAGCGGGAGCTGTACGACTCGGTGAGCTCGATAAATAAATAAGGCAGTTTTTACATATTTAAATAACAAATTCAGAGAGGTATGCCGCTTGTAAGTCAGATAAAAATCAGAAAAGTTAGGGGCTTAGAAGTGCAGGGATTTGGTCACCTTTCTGCAAATCCATTTTTTGCTAATTTTTAAAGGTCATAAAAAATGACAAACCATCTTTTGGTCGATCGAAAATAAACTAATGATGCCGCTTGTTAGATATTTAAATAACAAATTGAAATTAAAATAAAGTGAATTGCCTAAACCAATTAACAATTTTTCAAATTTTTCCGCCCAGCAACGTCATGCGGAGCTGCCGATCCCCGTGCCACGGCACCTGATCTACCGCGCCTTCCAGAAGGAGAGCAAGGGGCTGTGGTCCTTGGGCCGCTCCTCGGCGGGTGGCAAGCGATCCACCCGCTACACCTTGGAGTCCTACAAGCCGCCCCCGAAAGCGTCGCGCCTCAAGACTCAGCTGGAGGAGAAGCGGCCCAAGTACGATAACCTCCTCGACTTGCCACCCAAAGTGGCAGCAATGCGGTGCCGCCAGCGCCCAATCGCAAGTTCTCGAGAGTGTCGCCTTCTTCCGGTCGCAGGATCCGGAGTCTAACGCCTCCGGCAGTAAGGCATGTGAGTTCCATTCGACAGATCCTCTCGATGGCCAGTGTGGAGATGAAGAAGCCTGTGCGACGGCGGCCGGGAAAAATCCCTCGAGCCAAAAAAGTTGGCGGCCTTGAGCCGGCTAAAATTGTGCCGGAGAAACTGTCGCCTAAAGCTTCGAAGTTGCAGAGGAAGAAGATAACCAAACGGAAGGGTGGCGGCTCCAAGGCCAAAAGGTTGGCCAAGGAGGCGGATTCGAAGGCCTCGCACAACTGGAGTTTGGCAATCGGAGGTGTCCGCCGGCGACTCATGATGCACCAGCCCTCGAAGACCAGATCGTAATTCTATATCCCAGCTCCACAAATTGCTGTTATTACTTGTATACTTGTATACTTGTGAATTTGTTTTGATTGTAAAGGGAATGCTCTTGTCCTCAGTTGAAACCCAAACACAGATTTTTTGTTGCTCTATATTCTCAAAAAGTGAAAAATTGTTGAAAAAAAATGTATAGAGTTGAAACCTACTGAACTATTGAATAAAAAGAATACAATAAATCAAAGCAGTTTTTAATTGAAGCTAATAATATACATATACTTATATTTCGATCCAAAGTCAAATTCAAAAAACATATTAAAACACATTAATTAGCAATTCAAATTCATGCAAATTTTTGGGTAAATTAATAGAAGTCATTTCCCCAAGCCTATTTCAATTAATTCTCGAAGAACAACACAAGCATGCTTCTTTCATTCCCAACGTATTGGCAATATATAAAAGTCCCCTATGAATACAATAATTAAAACCATTGAGATCTTAACAATTCGGTCGAGACAACATGAAAAAACACTAACCATTTTCTAGGCATTTTATGGCATTTTATTTCTCTTATTGCCGACTGTTTTTTATTTTCCCCGACTTCTTTTTTTTTTTTTTTTTCTAGTTTCCAAGCGGGCGCAATCATTTTGATGAACCGTTAGTTAAGCACCAAAAACAACAGCAACAATAGCTAATAAAACATTAACACACACACACACTGGAATAAAAGCCCAAAAAAAAGGAGAAAAAAATAATAAAATCAACAGAGGCAGTAAAAAAAATTCGCAAAAGTTTTTTTTTTTTTTTCTTTTTTTTTTTGCCAATCGGCACGCAGCAGCGACGTTGAGCATTTGACCTAAATTCGGGGACAGCTCTTCTTCTACGTTTTCTACTATTTGTTGTTGCTGTTCTCAACGCGCTTTTGTGCGTTACCCAAAATACAACAAAAAAGAGTGAAACGCAGAAATTCGCAAACTTTTTTGCGGCTGCTAATTTCGCAAAGGCAAACAAAAAAAACATTTCAATTCCGCATAGAGAAAACGAAGCGGAGAATTTGAAAAGAAACAAGCCCGAAACAACTGTACAAAAGTCAAATTGTTTTATTTTATTTTTTCGGATTGCCTATGTCACGACAAATTTTGCGTTTTGCCTTTTGGCAATTGTTAGTTTTTTACGGGATATTCTTTCGGAGAATTGGTTTGAGAATTTTGAATTGCTACCTGTTTGCGAGAAGATTTATAAAAGAGATTTATTATCTAGAGGAATAGAAACAACAGCAATGTTAAAATCTAAAAAATAGAAAAACCTAAGATTGACTTTCATAAACTAGTTAAAAAATTTACAAGCTTTTTAAGAACCTTTAATTAAATCCAACCTAATTCATACTTTATTTTTATAAATATTTATAAATAAATTTCAATATTTTTGACAATATGTTCTAATGCATTGGTAATCCTAAAAATGTTTTATCCATGCATTTTTTTTATATTCCTCAGTTAGTTTAAACTTTCAACAAATATTTTCAGTCCTCAAAACTTTTTGAAAGAATCATCCAACTTAACCACCTTAATCGTCTTTATCAAAGTTTAATTTGACTTATCCAATTTCATTGCCATTTTTTTTCTTTTTGGCCTATAACAATTTATAGCCGCCTTTGCTTGGCAAAAGTTTTGGTGACGCTTCAAAAAGATACTGACAAAACTTGGCACATATGACACACACATGACACATGTACTTTTTTTGATTTCCATCATAAGATTATACTTTTATTGAGAAGTTTGTAAGGCTAAAACGCAATAAAAATATTTTACAATTATTACAATTATTAAATATTAAAATTTAAACATGTGTTCATTTTTATGCTATTTTTATCTAACGAATAAATTATATAGGGCCTATTCTTTTTATGGTTCGAATGGGATCAAATAAATATATGGTAAAGCTGTCGGATCTTGGGTTTCCCAATTTCTCTGCCTCTTTTCTGGTTTTCTACTTGTGTTTCTTTTTTGCTTGTTGCCTTGCTCTTGCGCCATTTGACTTCTAACTGCTTTTGTGGCTCCAAACACATCTACATATGCTCGTATATTTCTATGCTTGAGTGTGCGATTTTTTTAAGGCGCTAACTAGGCAAAAGCCACCAAGTTAACCCAACTAGGCGTCCCTCGCCCTTCTTTTTTTTACACTTTTTTTTGGGTGCTGCTGTCTTTGTTGGCTTTGTTTTGTTGTCAAGCTGCTGTCCAAAAAATAGCAACAATTCAGCAAGAGCAAGAGTACTACGCCGATTACGCAATGCGTTCACATACACAAACACACACACAGACACGATTGAAAAAAAAAGAAATAGAAACACATACTGTCAAGGTTTTTGCTTCGTTTCCGCGATCAACGCGCTCGCGAAAACTCACACAGGCACACGAAAAAAATTCGCAAATAACAACAAAAGTAGCTTGTGCGTGCGACCCAATTGGAAATTTGACACACATTGACAGCGGAGATAGGAGAAAACGGTGGCCAAGGGGGAGCTCAGAGCGAGGTTAGAGGGGGGTTCGGGGGATCAGGGAGTGACGAAGTCCAGAAGCAGCTGCTTGGATGGGTACAGATACAAAGATACAGCCACAAGTATCGCAGATACAAGTTCACATGTATTTATTAGGAGCAAAATGTGTGCAAAATGATACTCTAACCAAAAGCAAAGGTGAAGTTTGAATTTTCAGGCCTTACATTATAATTTCAAAAATGTATAAATAATATTTTGAGGTTGTATATAAATTATATAATTACATTAAATGAAATACAACTTACAATTCTTTTTAAGACACAATGTTTCAAATTTGTAATGCTGAATTTGGTAAAAATAGTATCTCATAAAAATAACATTTAAGCAAAATATATTGTTAAATGTATATAATATATATAGCGTTTTTAATATTCATGTTAATAGGGTACCTATTTATTTTTTTGTTTATATTTTTCTTAAATACCTTTACTCATTTTTCCACATATCAAGATCTTTTCAGCACACGCATACTCCGCGCAGTTTTGAGAGCACAGCTTCTTCGCCAACGTTTTCCATTGCGAAATTAAACAGAGAAAATTATAAAAAAAATAAATGGGATGGGGGAAACACACATCTGCGGATTTGTGTGTGCGCCTGTGTGTTTGCACTCATTGCTCATTTGTTTCGTGGGCTTAGAGTAACTGGCAACTGGCCTGACCTTTGGCTTGACCGTGGGCGTGAATTGCAAATAGTTGCGAAAAATACAAAAAAAAAAAAAAAAATAGGCAAACCCACAAAAAAAAAGAAGAAAAAATCATACAAAAGAAGCGAGAAATGGCAGACAAAACTGTTTCTAGCGGGCTGCTTGTCGCACAGCTGAAATTCAATGCTATCTACACGCACACACAAATTAGTTCAGTAGGTGCTTTGATGTTATTGCTGTTGCTGCTGTTGTTGTTGTTGTTGTTCCTGACGTTCGGGTTTAATTTTAGCCTCTGTGGAAAATGAAACATTTCTCAGCGCAAAACGCCGGCGAGAGAGCGGCTGGCTGGGCCATAAAAAATTCGCACATTTCTGTCCTTGACACACATTGCGTATACGCAATCTACGCAGCCGACTCCACAAGCTGATTCCGTTTATGAGTGCGTGCGAATTTTTTTTTCTTCTGGTCGTTTTTTTTCGCATTTTTCGCATTTGTGTGTGACCCACATAAGAAATCAAACAGATAACATATGCTTCCCTTTTATGCCAACCATTGGAATTTTGCACACTTTTTTCTCAGTTTGCGGAAGACAAATTTGCATAGTTGGAAAATAATGTTTGGCATCGCGAAAAGTTTTCCTTGCCTGTGTCATTGATTAATGAATTTATCGTTTGTCTATTTATTTTCCCGTTGAGAGGTCACAAGGTTGCAAACGCATTGCGAAAATTCAGCCATTGACAGCTGTTGGTAAAGATAAAACGCTTCCTACTTTTAAAAAGTTCAAAAAGAATGAAAAAGAAGATACAGATACTTCACTTTTAACTAATAAAGTTACTAAAGACAAATTGTTGCTACAGTTTTTGTAAGAATTCTTCAACAATCTTCAGTGAGTAAGATATAGATAAAAATGATTTTTGCTTTAATCTTTTCTAGCAAAGTTTGTCATAAGTGGCTTTTGCTAACAATGCATTTTAAGGGCTTTCTTTATTTCTGCCTAATGTCATGCGTTGAGGTGCTGAGAACGTGCCTTTCTGCAACTTTTCAGTTTATTTTGTGCGATAACAAATTATTACTAATTTTGTACAGAAATTCCTATATACACATATATGTATGTGTAGATCTGTAACGTATATATGTGCAAATCGGCTGTATATAACTTTCTGTAGATTTGCCATCATCATATGGATTTCAAAAACTCTTGAAGCCAAATATATATATATGTATATTATATGACAAGTGTGACTGATAAACGACACAAGCAAAAAAGTTGTTTCTATCTTTGCTGATATTTTTTTTGCACAATTTTTTTTGTTAATAATTTTTTTTTTGTGTTTGCCAAACATGCGAAATTGCGTAAGCAGCAACAGGCGAAGAGGGAGAGATTAGAAAAGCGCGAGAGCGAGAGAATTGGCAAAAAATATCGCGGCACACAGATACGAAAATACAATCGCAAACACATACATAGATACACATACATATATAATCGCATGCTCTTCAACTTGACTTTGAAAAATGTTGACAGAGCGGAAAAGAGAGGTAGTTCGCAATTTTTGGCAACTTTTTTTGCTTGTGTTTCTGACTTTGTTGTTGCTATTGTATTTGTTTCAGTGTTTTTTTTTTTTTTTTTTTTGGTGCGTGCGTTGATCTCGCAAAATTTGGGCTACGCACTTTTTTGCGATTGCGAATTTCTCTGTCGTTTTTTTTTTTTCGTTTTATTTGTCGTTGTGCGTGTGAGTTCATTGACTTTCGCATTTTGTGCGTGGCTCTCTGTTTTTTTTTCGATTTTGCGAAAAGAGGCCTACAAAGTGTTGTTGTTTCTCCGTCTGTAATTTTAGTGCGTGTCGTTGATCTCTTTCAGCCCCAAAAAAAGTTTCTGGGGTTCATTGAACCCCTTGATTTGGGGCTTATGGGGCGAACGAAAGTTCAATAGACTCGCGAATTTTTTGCCTAGGCTTTTTTATTCTGTTCTGTCGCTTCGATTTAGGCATAGAAACACATTTATTAATCATCAGGGGAATCTGATTATAGGGTTGATAAAGTCTGG